TACAGAAACTAGCTGTTTTAACAGTCAGTAAAGCAGTGTTTTGTTTAAATAAATAAACTGAGCTATTTATTTCCCATTGTTTTAAAATCATTACTGATTACAACTGTACACTAAATGATCATCCAATTCTTTTTTGAAGGATTAAGAAATCTTAACCCTCTCCGAGAATAAAATACTGTTTACACTTGTGGTATAGCTCAGAGAAACTTACCCAACCTGTTTTACTGTGTTTTGGAAACCATTTGCATATCCTATCTTTAATGTTATTAGAGTAAGTAGTATTTTGGGTTTAGAATAGAGAGTCATTGCAACCCAGTGAAGATTTCTAGTGAATAAACTTCTATAGTTATTACCAGCTTCCAAGTGCAATTCAAGGTGCTGCAATTCAAATCTTTCATGTTGCAGGGCCAGAACCACCTCTCCGACTATTTCTCCCCATTTACTAAGATCTGACAAGAGTGACATACTCAGGATCCTGTCACTTAGACAATATTATATGGCAGGATCCAGGATCCAGGTAGTTCTCAACTTACAACCATTCATTTAGTGACAGAGTTATAATAGCACTGAAAAAAGTGACTTATGACCGATTTTCACACCTATGACCATTGCAGTATCCCTGTGATTAAAATTTGAGTGCTTGGCAACTGGCATATATTTATGATAATTGCTCTGTCCCAGGGTCATGCAATCACCATTGGTAATCTTCCCAGCTGACTTTCAACAAGCAAAGTCAATGGGGGAAGCCAGGTTCACTTAATGACTGCATGATTTATTTAATAACTGCAGTGATTCACTTAACAACTGTGGCAAAAAGGTCATAAAATGGGGCAAAAGTCACTTAACAACTGCCTTGCTTAGCAACCAAAATTTGGGGCTCAATTGTGGTTGTAAATTGAGGATTACCCATTACATTTCTCTATTGCTGCTCCCACTCTTTATAACAAGATCTCATCTACCTGCCCTTTGAAAGGCATTAAAGATCTGGTATTTTTTCTACAGGTAGAAAAAATGGCATCACATATTGTATGAGGTATTTTTCCACCACTTTATGGACTTGCATGTGTTCTAAATTATAATCTAAAAAGTTATTCTAAGTCTAATCTGCTTTATTATATGGATTTTATTGACTAATTTTTATTTACTAATATTGTATATCACTTTTATTCATGGCCATATAAAGTAAATAAAGTAAGCAAATTAGCTGTAGGATTCTCACTATGGCACAAACATATACTATGAAGATTTCTTCAGTGTCATATTGTTTTATTCCTATCTTGTGCCTATGGCAAATGAATATGATAATCATTGCAGTTTTAGTGTAGTGTTTTTCTTCTGGTCCCTAAATATTTTTTTTACTGTGCAGACAATGTTTGACTGGATGATTCATAATAAAATTAGAAATTGAGATTTCTCTGCTCCTTATTAATCTTTTTAGGCTGTATGTATCTGAATGCCTTTCTGTCTCTTGTTGTGTACTGCTATGACCATTGAAGTTTGAGCTATACAATAGATATCTGGCTTCTGCACATGTATCATATTATGAAACTGTTATATGCATGGATTTAGCATTCTTTTAGTGGAGAAAATAGACCTGTGTTTTAAAAAATGACTTTCTGTGGATGTACTTTTTACTGATTTTATTATTTGACTGTAGTTTTTAAAAATATATAAATCACATAAGCTAATCAGTTCCAACTTATTTTCTTGTTATTTGTCAATTTAACCCATGTGTTATATTTAATAACTTTTATTAACATGATTGTGAAATTAGGCTGAAACAAATTTAGGTTGTAATCAGTTTTACTTATGATCCTGTAAATCAGGAATGTTGCTTTATTTCTGCTTTTCTCAGCAGGTACTAAGAGATTTTCTTTAAAAGTCTTATATCACATTTCTTCATTGTTTTAATGGATTGAAGGAGTTTAGTGTCATCTCATTAGTCTCTCTGAAGATTTCAGTGGAATATGCTAAGTCACAATATTAATCATACTTTCATGTAAGATCCTAAACATGAAATGTTGGTTTCACAGGAAATCCTTCTCTGCCAGCACCTACCCATATGCATCCTCTGAAATTTTGCATCACTATGCTCATTCAGAGCATTTCATGTCTGTTAGCTCACCTTCCAGGGAACTCTGTGACTAGCACAGGTACAGAATAGTGTTTCAGGTCCCAATACTCTCACACTTCACCAGCTTAATTATGAACCTGGTATTCTTTTCTTGTGGCTATTAATACTGATCTGGGTGAGTTTCTCATTCTCAAAATCTAAATTGTAACTCCGAGAGTTCCAGATCATTAGAACTGGTCTCAGGTCCACTAGTCATTTAACCCATCAGCACCATAAATGGCACCTTTCTACCACTGCTATCATTTCATGCCAGTTAGTAGGTCCCATAGCAGTAACTGTTGTTTTTTTCTTAGTTGGTTACCAATCTATCCTGATATCTGTATTGTCTTCTTGAGTGTCACAGTCCCAGCTAGGTCTCAGCCCCACAGGTGATAGTAACCATAATGTCCCACTTCCTCTTGTCCCAATATGGTAAATGTTCTGATTGCAGGGTAGTACTCTAGTTCAGGTCCTCTGCCTCAGATCCTCTTCAACTATGTCAACTATAGATGCTGTCATCATTTCTGAAATGCCCAACTAGCAATTCTAAGCCACTTCTCCTGTCTACCAATTCTGCAAGTTGGGAACTCTACAACAGCAGTTCCAGTGATAGCTCCAAGGCTGTGATAGAAGAATGATTGTTCTCAAACTGCTAGCTTGTAGGTCTAAGTTGTGGATTACCTCTATTCTTTCTTCATTCTATTTTCTCCACAACAACCATCCTGTGAGGTGAATTGGAGAGATAATAACTATCACCAAGTCATCTAACTGGCTTTCATGCTTAAAGCAACAGTAGAACTTACAGTCTCCTGGTTTCTAAATGAATATTTCTACCTAGTTAAAACTTATACCACTATGCATTTGCTAGTTATGAAAGCTATTAATGTGTTCTGAATTAGCCAACTGCTTAGCTAATTAAATACATAAATCTGAAGTATGAGTTGTTTAGTAACTAGGAGTAATCATATATCTAATTTGGCAAACCTTAAATACTTTCTGTAATTTACGAAGCAGTTTTGAAGAACAGATCTCTGAAATCAGTGCTAAATATATACATAAAATCTAAATATATAAATAAATACTTAAGCATATGTTTTGTCTATTTTAGAAATCAAGCTAAACAAACTGTTAAACACAGTAAATTCCTTTGTAAATGGTAAACAGAACTTTCAATTGTATTTTCAGGAAGAAAAAAATGACATGCATCTACTGTTTCCCCTGTAATTTTATCCTGAAAACAGTTACTCAGATTACAAGGGAAAAATGTAGGTTTATTTACAGAAACCAATGATTTCATAAGATTGTACAGTGTATTAACATATTCATTTCAGCAGAATAAGAGACATCTTGGTTACCATCATCATACACAAGAGATTACTGATAAAAATTTAGGAAGAGGGCACATCATCTTCTTAGGTGACACTGATCCCTATAGAAGTCAGAAAAAAACAAACCCTTGGCTTTGTAATTCAGGGACAGGACTTAGGAGAAATGTTCTCAGCCCCCCAAAAGTATCATAGTTAAAGGAACACAATAGTAAAAATGGGGATTTTGTTTTTTACATATGCTCCTTCTCACTAATATATTTAACCAGTTATCTGTGCATCCAACTGTATTAACATTATTAAAAATCAAGTTCAGTGTGTCTTCTGAATATTGGGGTTTTTAAAAGCAGGAAAAGATATGCCAGTTTAAAAGGAAATGAAATCAGCCTATAGCTTTGCAATTAAGAGGTTTTTTTTCTCTCTCTAAATATTTCTGAACTTGAAGCTAGATAAACATGTATATCACTTACATTTAATAGCTGTTTTTGGCCAAATAATTTAGCAGACCTACTCACAGAATTTGCAAAAGACCCAGACAGGAAATAGATAAAAAGTTCATTTGACTATACCCTGTTTCTCCAACAATATGGCCTCCCCCAATAGGAAGTCCCAGCATGTTTTATAGGCATGAAATGAAATTAAGCCCCTCCCCCCAAATTAAGGCCTATATTAAAACATGTGAAATGGTGGGGGGGGGGGCTTGCCGTTAGGAAGTACTTTTGTTGCACACCCGGATATGGTGCTGCCTGCATTGACCCCGATACGAAGTGCCCCACCAACGCCGAGGTCAACATCCAAGCCATCGCCGCCCGCCCGCCTGAAGATGCAAGGGGGGTGAATTAAGTCACCCCCCGAAAAGATGGCCTAGCCATTTTTTCGGGGCTCAAAAAAAAATAAGACCCGGCCTTATTATATGAGAAACACGGTAGTTCTTCCAAAATCTGCTACATGCACACCATCAGTTCTGGCAGTTTTCATTACAAATTTTATATAGTGTCAATTTCATGCAATTTTGCTGTTTCATTCATGGTGATATATTTTTAGGTATCCCTATACATTCTTTCCCATTAGAGCACTTTTATCCCAATGGCCTGTATTTTGTGATAGAAACCTTGTCTTTCCAGCTATGTGTGTGATAAGTGCATGTAATTTGTGCGCAGGAGTCATAGACCCAGAGTAGTTACTTTCAGAGATTTCACTTCTTAGGGGTGAAAAGGTTTAAACGTCTGCACACGACTAGTATTTGCTCTGGGCTACATGAAAAGATGATTATAGTATGGCAGTTACTACAAAACGGTAACTACGGACTCTCATACACATGCACAAATTTCTCCCTTTCCATGGTTGTGTGGCGGATTTAAGAGGGTCCAGGAAGAAGTGGCCAAATCCACACAGACTTTCCTAAGCTTTCTGCACTTGTAACTATTATAGAATTGTGCGTGTATCGGAGAGAGAAGCCAGCTCATGGGAAGGATAGGGTAAGCGAGGGCACTTTTTTGCCTGTTGCAATTTCCCGGAGCCTGTATTACTGGGAGTTTCTGCTTAGGGTGAATGAGCAACTGAGTAAGTGAAGGGGAGAGGTCAGCGCCTTTCTCTCAGATTTCGCCTGCCCTTAGCGTCGGGCAACTCCAGCGGAGCACCGCAGCAGGGCTGTGGCCGGGCGGAAGTGACGGCCGTTTCACCTGCTGGGCTGCGAGGGGACAGAGGAGGGCGGCGCGAGGCGGCGAGTGTCCATTGGGAATTCGCTCGAGAGTCGCTCCTTTTCCTCTGGCCGCCGGCGACTGCTTTCTCCCGCGCTCTCTCTCCCCGCCATGGCATCGCTGCTGCCGCTCTTGTGGGCTGTAACGTTTCTTTGCGCAGGTAAGGCTGGAAGTCAGCGAGGAAGAGCAGAAGACCCTCCCCGCCATCCCTCCGTTTGCCCACCCCAACCGCCTTTGTGCCCCTTCTTCTCCCGCCGCTCCCAATCGCCCAGCGTTTCTTTGGCGAAACACTCTCCAGGGAGATGGGAAAACAAAAACTCTGACTTAAAGGGATTGGAGCTTGGATGGATCGCGTTGCGAGATGACTCTGTGGCTCCTGTATTGTTGAGGCTTCTCAGGAGGGATCGGTTGTGAAAGGGCTCCGAAGAGGGGCGTGAGAGGGAGAGAAAAGAAACGCGCCTTTTTTCTTTTGCCTACTGGTGAGGTGTTTTTTTTTTTAAAGCTTCTTAGCGGTTCTCTTCCCCAAGTTCGTTTTAAAAAACACCAGTATGTCGGCCTCTTTCTTTTGGTGAAATCTTACCCTCTGGGGGGTGGGGCGAGCTGGAGGTATCAGGATTTCACTCTCTGATGATTCACCGGAGGCATTGTTGTGAGCTCTGGACTCGCGTAACTACTACTCTTCCCTACGCCCAGTTGCAAAGTCCTTCGCTCTCTAAAGTAGTGAACCAGGCGAAGAATTGCATTTAAAAATGTAGGAGCAAAACATGTTTTTAAGAGAGGCGCTTACAACTATAGTTCTTGTTTTATTTTGTTTTTAAAGTTTCACAAGTTTTACACCCACTGGATCTTTACTCCATAAATCCGGATGATATGAGGCAGGTGCTGCCAGAATTATTTCCAAATAAGCTGCCCTTGTGTAGTTTTGTTAGTAACCCTTGGAAAAGCTTCTGAAACTAAATGAAGGAAACAAAAGCTTTTCTAACAGTCTCTTTCTGATCAGAACTTGGCCTTATTTTGCTTCAACGCGACACTCATTACCTTTGCAAAAGTGCAAAAAGAACATTTAAGGGTACCAGTTGCCGCCCAATTTAGGACTTGTTCTTAGCTTTTTTAACACTAACTTTCGTAGCTTTTCTAAATGAAGAATGGACGAGTTATTAGAAATAGAATAAACCTCACACATGTCAGGCCAACCTGTACTTAGGGCTTCTAATTGACAAGTACGGGGATGTAGAATTGCAAAGAGTGTCTATTATGGAGATTCTCCATCATCCTAGTCATGGCTGTCCCAAAGCTGAAGAAGTGTCTTGGATGAGAAGCGAAAGGTTTTCAAAGAAAAACAAAGTCCAGTTGCCTCTTAAAAAGCACCTTTGGTATAATTGCAAAGATTATTATTTAAAAATTTAGTCTTTTATATCTTTAACACTAGGCACTAAAGATACAGCCTCAAGAAGCTTTTATAGGACATATTTTTTACACATATTGGTAATATGCCTTCCAGAAAAAAAATGTTAGAATCCAAATAACTATATAAAATACTTTTTAATTCTGTTTGGAAGTATTATTCCTTAATATGCATTTGAAATGCTTATAGTTTTTAATTATACCCATTTTAGGTATACTTAGTTAGAAATCATGCTGCAGACTATATTCAGAACTTTATGATTTGACAGATTTACCCTTACCTGCCATTTTAGACCCACATTGGGAGGAATAAAATTAAAGTGATAACCTAAATCAAAATTAGTAAGTCTCCTTATTCGAATATGTGTTCTTGTACAGTAACAACTAGAAGTGCAGGTAAAACAAGAAGACATTTGCTTAAACATTATGCTAGTTCCTAAAAGTTTTATGTAGAAGTATTAAGCTTACGATATGCAAATACTTCGGTTATTTAGAACATATCTTCAGGTGTTCTCCAACACAACTTTTTAAAAATTAAATTTGTATGCCATCCAACTCCAGAGACAGACTCCAGGTGGGCTACAATTTTTTAAAAAATACACAGATCTGTATGAAGGTTTCTCTTCATAAAGTTGAGTGATAATAGGATTTAAATCATTTAATGCTAGGAAACTGCTGTCTTGCTATAATTATTTCCTGTGTTCAAAATGTAACTCAAACTGTACACAAATGGAATTCAATTTATACCAACACCTGTGAGGTTAAAAGCTAGGGAAACTAAAAGCTTTTCAGCATTTTCCAGCTCTTTGTTTCCTGCCCAGATATCTTATGCCACTGTTGATGTCATAGTTTTGCAACATTACTCATAGGATAAAAATCCTTTTGGGTCATCAAGTAATATTTTGTGTGTATATCAATATCTGTATATCATGTTCACTTTAAATACAAACTACTGAAATAGGAAATTCAAACAGCATTTCCTCAGATGTTAATGAACTAATTATTATTCACAAAAAAGTATGTAAAAACATTAACAATTTTAAAATACAAAATTTTGCCTTTTAACAATAACTATAAAATAATTCTGAACATCCTATAGAACCTAAGCAGGCAATTTAAGCAATGTAAACTTGGCAGAACCACATATTTAAACAGTAGATGGGTCCTGTAGACATGATCCTGAACCTTTTGCTTGCCATCCAGTTGCAAATTTCTAAAACTGAAACATCTGCAAATGTTCACTTTTATAACTTGTAATCCTGCATGTTCAAAAGTTTTGTTTTAATAACTTCAGGCTGGAATTATATTTGGTTAATAAGTACCACTTTTAAAACTCAATTTAAGGGTTTCAAAAATATTCAAAATAAAGATTGTCCTCAACTAACTACCACAGTTGGGACTGGAATTTCCACCATAAATCATTGTAGTCATAAGTTGAATCAGACTTGATTTTAAAACAGTGTTTACAATTGTCATTAAGTGAATCATGACAGTTGTTAAGCGAATCCAGGTTTTTGAATGGATTTCCTTTTTTGCTGTAAATCAGCAAAACAGGTCACAAATCATGATCACATAACTGCAGGATCCTGCAACAGGTTGTAAATGTGAGTTCATGCTCACATTGTGTCAAGTGAAAAGGACATCTTTTTCGGTGTTTGTTCTAGAACACAGGTGCCAAACTTGCCGTCACATGACATGGGCATGGATGTGGAGCTGGGGTGGCCGTGGCCTGCATGTGACACATCTGGCCTGTGGGCTGCTAGTTTGACACCCCTGTTCTATAACGAATTGTCATTCTTCATTGAATCAGTCAATTTCAGCTTTTTTGGCATCAGTGATGGGGGCATAGACCTGGATTATTGTGATGTTGAATCATTTGCCTTGGATTCAAACCAAGATCATTCAATCATTTTTGAGATTGTACCCCAGCACTGCTTTTCCTACTTGAGTTGACTATGACTATCCATTTCTTCTATGGGATTCTTGCCTATAGTAATAGATCTACTGGTTGTTAGAATTAAATTTGTCCATTCCATCTACCGTGTTCCTCACAAAATAAGGCCGGGCCTTATTTTTTTTTGAGTCCCCCAAAAACGGCTAGGACAACTTTTCGGGGGTGAATTAATTTCTTCCCCCCAACACACACCAGCGCCGTCTCCAACAACAGCGTCTGAGTCGCTTCTGCTTTTCCCCTGTGCCCGTAACAACAGGAAAAAAAAGATTTTGAGGTACCTGGGAGTGCTGCTCGCTGCATTTTGGTTTAATCCCGAGCGGCTGGGTGGGCGTGAGAAGAGCCAAGCGAGCATCTCTGCTGCTGCTACCCTTGGTGCTCCAGCCTCGGGCTCTGCAAGTTTGCAAAAATCCCGGTGCGCAGCCCGTTCCTGCATTCCAAGCTCCCAGGCCGAGCTGCAGCTGTCCCTCTCTTGCCAGCACTGTCTCCAATAACAGCGGCAGCAGCGGCGGGAACCGTGGAAGTGTTTTAGCTGCTTCTCGGGTGGGGGAGCCCCCTCTGTAACCCATGGTTCCTGCCGCTGCTGCCACTGTTATTGGAGACGGCGCTGGCGAGAGAGGGACAGCTGCAGCTCGGCCTGGGCGCTTGGAATGCAGAAACAGGCTGCGCACCGGGACTTTTGCAAACTTGCAGCGCCCGAGGCTGGAGCACCAAGGGTAGCAGCAGCAGAGACGCTCCCTCAGCTCTTCTCACGCCCACCCAGCCACTCAGGATTAAACCAAAACGCGGCATGCGGCGCTCCCAGGTACCTCAAAATGTTTTTTTTCCTGTTGTTACGGGGACGGGGGGAAAGCAGGAGCGACTCAGACACTGTTGTTGGAGATGGCGCTGGCAAGAGAGGCGCCAGCACTGGTGGGAACCGTGGAAGCTACGAAGGCCTGAGAAGCGGCTGAAATGCTGCCGGACATCCACGCCAACGCCGCCCGCCTGCTGACCCGGGTAAGGGAGTATTAAGGGAGCTCTCCGTGCTCCACCATGGTGTTAGGAGCGACTGATGGTGAGGCATAGCTGCCCGCGGGGCACTCCTAATGGCAAGTTCCCACCCACCCACCCCCAATTTCGCATGTTTTAAACTAGGCCTAAATTTGGAGGGAGGGGCTTAATTTCATTTTATGCCTAGAAAACATGCTGGGTCTTCCTATTGGGAGGGGCATATTGTTGGAGAAACATGGTAGGTAGTTCATTGATTCCCGAGATGTTGATGTTCAATCTTGCCATCTCATCTTTGATGTCATCTTTGATGACATTAATTTATCTTGATTCATTGATCTTACATTCCAGGTTCCTATGCAATATTGTTCTATACAGCATTGAACTTTCCTTTCACCACCAGACACATCCACAGCTGAGCATCTTTTCAGCTTTGGCCCAGCCACTTCACTTTTTATGAAGCTACTTCTAATTGTCCACTGCTGTTCCTCAGTAGTGTATTGAACACCTTCCAACTTAAAGTTCTCATCTTCCGATGTCATTTTAGACTTTTCATAAGTGAAGCTGATATGCTATATTAAAGGTGGAAAAAATTTGGAAGTGATTTAATTTTGTCTGATTTTTTCACATCTCAAAAACCTAGCATTTTAATAGAGGTGTGTAAATTTTCTATATCCACTGAAACCCCAAGAGTACTGGGATAATAGGCTTGTAAGGACAAGCATCAGCTAGCAACTAGACTGCTGTATTTTAGAGTAGATATACTGAGTATGTAGACATAAATTTAAGTATATACAGTATAGAGCACACTGTAGTAGTCTAACTAATGATGAGACACAAGTCACAACTGTTCTTCTATCCATGGCTTTCATCTGCCCTGCCCTTCCTGTTGGGCCACATCCAGAAAGCATGGTTAGGAAACTAACCACTGAAACACTTTTATTTGTTGACTTATCATGTGTGAGAATAGTGGGTAATTAAATCCAGACAGGTCTGAAGTGCTATTGGTGTATTGTATAGGAAATGTGGTAAAGATTGAAGTTTAGCATTTGGGGGACATGTTTGTACTCTTCTCTATGAATGGGTTTGTGTAATATATCTGCCTTTTATCAGCTACATCTTAACCTTAGCTAATCATATTTGGACCGAGCTGTATTTGGATTCTGTTTTGACAGCTGCAGTGGGTTCTATATGGGTTAATAACTTGAATACAGCAGCTGAGTACTGCATAGTGAAACTAAAGAGATTGCATTATGCTTTTATTGAATTGCTAGTTGCTTATCAGACACAATTTATGATACGGATATTCATATCAAAAACACTAACCAGCTTGGGATTTAAATACCTAAAGGACTCTACCTTTATAGTACTATACAAATCTGTAGTGGAAGCACTTTTGAATGCCCCACTAGCAGAAGCCCATTTGGATGACATATGAAAGAGGGACTTCACCTTTCCTCCTAAACCATGAGTCACAATTCCTCCATGAATTGTTTGGTCTTTACTCTGTCTCTTTTTCAGAAATATGAAAAGAAAATTTCTCTTGCTAGTTTTTTTAGGTGATTTTAATATTTATGACTAATTTCAGTTTGTATTTTGAATTTTTATTGCTTGTTTTTGCTTTTAAATTTTGCCAGTTCCTTTAAACACAGCTAAAGCAGAGGTTATGTGTAATGTTTTGTTTTATCAGGGAAGAGGAAGAAAGCACAAAAAATTACAACTCTCAAACATGTATACTAATCACTACCAGAATAAGACATTAATGTTATTGTAGAATTAAATTAAATTAATATTTAAAACAGTTAACTCAATAATAAAAAAGGAAATAAAACATCAAAACCAGTATGTTTTGTTCAAAAATTTAAATAGTATGTGAATATAAACCTCTGAAACAGTGCATTAAGTTTCTGAAAACACATTTTGTAAAAATAAAATTGAGATATACCACATACCTGAAGGTATGTATTATTAATTTTACCCCAAATAGTTTAAATGAGACCCAATTATCCAGATTATTGTTACAATATTTTGAAAATAAAATGGTTAAATTATTTAATTGCATTTTATATAGAGATATATACAAGGTTAGGATATATATATATAAAATTTTCCTGAAAATAAGACCCAGTCTTATATTTGGGGGGCTCCAATTTTGGGGAAACATGATTTCAGGATGATGTGCCCAGCTGGGCGCATGGGACCTGACTGTATCCGGCAGCAGTTGCAGCCTGCCGGTCCTTTGGTTGGCGCACTATGGGGCTGCACAGTCCTCACATCACAGGTGAATTAATTCCCTGTTGAAGCAACAGATGGAGGCAGAGGCGCGGGGGGGAGGGGGGGGAGGCAGGCAATCCAGACACTCTATGCAGGCCGTGGGAAAACAGAGAGGAGGCAGAGGTGTGAGGGAGGGAGGCGATCCAGATGCTCTGTGCAGGCCATGGGAAAACAGAGTCAGGCTGGAGCAGGAGGCTTGTCTTTGCACGGCAGCACCAGCAGAAGACAGGCAGAGGTGTGGAGTGGAAGGCAGGCAATCCCAACACACTGAGCGGGCCACAGGCAAGCCAAGAGACGGGAAGACAAGCCTCCCATGGCTGGCCAGCCACTCCGGCCAACTGACTCTAGGCTTTCCCGCAAGCCATGAGGCTCTTCTGGATTGCCTGCCTTAGCCCCTGCACCTCTGCCTCTGTCTGCTGCTGGTGCCACTGCACAGATAAGCCTTCTCCGGCCATTGGCTGCTCCAATCCACCAACTCTTGGCTTTCCCACAGCCCGCATGGTACATCCAGGTCACATGCCTCTCTCTGGCTCCACCTGCTGCTTCGACAGGTAATCAAGTTGCCTGCGTGGGCTGCGGCTCCTGGCGGACACCATTAGCCACACACGCTTGCCGTCTCTATGCTGGCCATGCCTATGAAGCCCCTTCACTAGGGTTTATTTTTGGGCTAGGGTTTATAATTAGGCATGCTTAAAATCAGACCAGGGCTTATGTTTGGGGTAGGTCCTATTTTTGAGGAAATGGTAATTAGTTTTTAATGTTAATATTTATATTATACTAACAATTTAATAATCTGAGATAAATTTCTTATATTCTGAGCCTAGGACAAGTTACTGGTCCCCGAAAGTGTCTAAAATTTATTTTTTATAATGTAGTGCTTCCAAAGGTGTCACTTTATTTCAATAAAGGTTAAAGTAAAAAAGGGTCCACAGTCATCAACTAATTATATTCTGGTATTATCAATAAGTGCCTAGAGACACTTGAAAACAGGCGAAGTAAATATTGTTTACCACTGGTATTCCAGAATTGGTTCTCTTTAAGAAGAGTAATTCAAGTGTTAAATGATCTCATATAAAGAGAACATTCTATTTATTTTAAAGGTCTTTATACTGTATTTGCAAACCACTCAGTATATGGGAAATATTGTAATTGTAAGAAGGAAAAGGATAGAAATGGAATAATGTTGTTGGAAAGGAAGACTCAATTTCTGATTTCTTGTATTGTTACCATAAGCATTTCTTGTAACATCAGTATTAATGTTTATTTTTTTAACATTGAAGTCTATTAGTATTCTCCCCTGTAATGAAAACTAAACTTATTTTTATCTTGGATGGAATTAAATAAAAATGTATAGCTAAAAACAGTCATTATATTTTTATATGTTTGAAAATAGTTTTGCATTAATTTTTTGAACTAGTATAAATTATTATATCAATTGTAAATTTTTAGATGATTATTTCATAGCATTATGGCCAGAGTTTCAGGCTTATCCTCAAAATGTCATTTTGGTATTATTTAATAATATACAACGGTATATATTTGGCAAATTTTTCACTTCTATCAGAAACAAATGCCATTATAGGTAGTCCTCAACTTACAACAACAGTTGAGTCCAGAATTTTGGTTGCTAAGTGAGTGAGTCCCACCCAGTTTTACAACCTTTTTTTTGCCATGCTTGCTGTAATTGGTAAGTAAATTGTGCAGTTGTTAAACAAATCTGGACTCTCCCCTTGACTTTGCTGTTGGAAGCCAGATGGGAAGGTTGCAAATGGTGATGACATGACCCTGAAGTGCTACAACCATTATAAAAACATGCTAGGTGCCAAGCATCCAAATTTTGATCACATAATCATGAGGATGGTATGACAGTTTTAGCAGTAGAAATAGCACTTAGACTTATATAGCAATAGCACCTAGACTTACATACTACTTTATAGTGCTTTACAGCCCTCTCTATATCCACTGTGTATTTCACTCCATAATGCTTAACAGCACTTTGAGTGGGTTACAATGTTACACCCAACAATCTAGGTCCTCATTTTATCAATCTCAGAAGCATGGAAGGCTGAGTCAACCTTGAGCCTGTCAGGATGGAACACGAGGATATGGGCAGAATTAGCATGCAATATTGCATTCTAACCACTTTGCCATCAGGACTCTGTAAGTGTGAGAAATGATTGTAAATCACATCTTTCAGTGCTGTTGTACCTTTGAGTAGTCACTAAATAAATGTCATAGTAAGTTGAGGACTACTTGTACATAGAGGTAAAATGTACTTAATTTATTGAGATTTTTGCTGGTTAAATTTAAAATAAATAATAAAATTTTGGACTTTTATTGATAATATATATAAAGGAACACAAACAAATGTTGGTGTTTTCCTTAAATGCCTCTGAAATATTTCTCCGATCATTAAACCATATGTTGAAATGTATTATATCTTGAAATTGACTTGCTTGGGTTTCAGAGGGAGCTTGAGGTTGTCCAGGAGGTCTGCTAAACAATCTAACTGAAGTCCTGAACACTATGTGGAAGAAAGGGGCACCTTAGGCTTTTGATCTGATTGCATTTCAGTGAACAGCATAGTATTGTGTTGATTCTCTTCCTTTCTCCGTGGTTGGTTCCAGTCAGTGTTGAGAGGAAGTCCAGTCTATGCCCTCTTTGTGGGATTCCACAGACTGGATTCTTGCTTCCTGTTTAACATCCATGTAAGGTGTTGGGTAAGGTCATCTGACAATTTGGAATAAGGTATCATCATTGTGCTGATTATACTCAGCTTTATATCTATAGCTCTGACCGTTTCAGTGATTTGCAGACATCTTGTCTGGTCATATGACAGTCTGGATGTGTCATAATCGGCTTTGGTTCTGGTGCTGGAAATGATCCACCCTAACCCTCCTTCCTTCTCTACCTCCCCCTCACCCCGGTTGTAATAAGCTTTTCTATAAAAATACATAGTCCTTTTGATCATAATGTGCAAATGATTATAAAGTCAATTGATTCCTCTAGTTATCTAAAGAACCAAACACTTGCTATAAAAATGTTTCAATTATACAGATAAGATGATGTCTTTAACTTTTAAGATATTGAATCTAATATACTTGATTTCTTAATACTTTTCCTAGATCTAATTGAAGGTATAACAATAACATCGACAGAATACACGGTTACAAAAGCTCAAGGAGATAAAGTTACACTGCTGTGCACATTTACTACAGCAGATGATAGAACGGTTGAAATTGAATGGAGTGTTTTGGCACCAAAAGGGGAGGAACCAGTAAGTAGAAATTATTGTGTAGATATAATACTCATTTTGAGTTTAGGCTGTGTGCATTGTAAGTTAAATTTTTAATGAGAATACTGTATCCTTCTCTAGGATACTATACTTTGGAGAAGTATATTTAACATATTACTTATAGCTAAGACGTACAGTGACTTAAAATGTGTTCTGTTTGACACACAAGTCCTAAAAGTAGGTAAAGAAATTAAACAATTAAACAAATGAGTCAAAAATATAATAAGCTGACAAGCTTCAAGAGACCCTAGAGTGCCATTGGAAGAAAACAAAAAAACGAATTCTAAGCACATGTTAAGGCCACTGTTAAGGTTTACCTTGTGGCAGTAAGAGTGGCGAAGCGTCAATACTTTTCTGCTCTTATTGCATCTACTGAATGCCAGCTCTGTTTAGAGTTTCCCAGATTCATATTGGAAAGGGTGGCCCGAAAATCATTCTGCAGCACCATATGGAAGAATTCTCTGGGCATCTACCAGATAAAATCATTTGGATTTGCTCTCAGTTGGATACCAAGTATGATGCAAGTCTTGTGGAGATGCCACCCTGTTGTGCGGATCATACTTTGATAGTGCATATCCAGAATTACTTTGTTCTTTAAATTATGCAGGAGCTCCCATACTCACTGCTGATTATCTTTCCATTGATTAAAACATGACATTTCTCCTTTAAATGAACTGATAATCCTAGATATTCACATACTTTTGTTACACAGAAATATGTAGCTTTGGACCATTTTCTTCAATAACTAATTAACAAGTATGTTTTTGACAGGGCACCCTTCATCTAATTTTAGAACTTGTGTGGAGAATAGATCATGTTTTAGGCCATATTTATGCAGATATGAGAAATTCAAAAGAGTTCACAAACTTTTAAACACCACTGTAGCTTAATGAACCTTTCCCCCCCCCAATTCAGGTTATCATATATGATGAAGGCAATGTTTATGATACATATGATATGAAGGGACGAGTACAATTTGCTAAACAAAATCCAGCATCTGGAAATGCAAGCATTGATATCTTAAATTTAAAAGCAGAAGATACTGGCAAATACCAATGTAAAGTGAAGAAACTTCCTAGTGTTAAAACTCAGAGAGTCCACTTGACAGTACTTGGTAAGGTATTTATGATTTGCCTTTTTTGTATAGCTTTGTATGAGGTAAATATGAATATTCAATACATAGGAAGTGCAGTATAATGTAAAAAATATAATGCACTGTTGGATACTAAGCAATAATTTAGGTAGTTTTCTTGTAAAATTAGCATCTTGGTTTTTTTTTTAATTCTCATAAATTTCAATATGTTACCTCTTTAGGTTTACATCTTTTGAATTATATTCCCATGACCTTGGGAAATTAAAACTAAGAAAAATGAAGCATGATATGCAATACAAATGATATGTGAATTATACTTTTGTTGTTACATAATATAAAATTATGATTGTGAAAGGGCATCTATCATACTGCTCATTCTACAATATTTAACTTTCTAGTAAAATTCTCTAGATTATGTATACATAATACAAACATAACAGTTATGCATATCCCAGCCTTTCCTAGAAAGCAGCTCTATTACTAAATTATGCTGCTTGAAATTTCTGTTTTGATTTTAGTAGAAATATAGGTTGAACTACTAAGATGAAATTATATTTTTAACTTTCAATTTTCCCTCTACAAATTTTGTAATGTTTCTTCAAATTCTAGGTTTTGTAACTAAGTAATTTATTTGGGAACATACATGTTTTAGAATAAAAGCACTAAGTTGAGGCAGTTAAAAATAAACTCTCAGAAGAGAACCAGCACATAGAACTAAAAAGAGAGATTGAGGGATTAATATGTTTCAATGTGTAACTTGTTGGTCTTCCACTTCGATTGTCATTCATTATTCTAATATATTTATTATTTCACGCATTTACTCTAGGAGTTCAAATTGGCATACAAAGTAGATTCTTTAATTTTATCGTAGAAAAGCTCTGTTGGGGTAGAATAACCTAAGACTGTGGTTCTCAACCTGTGGACCACGGACCCTAGGGGACTGTGATGTCACAGGGGGTCTGTGAAGGCTTGGTGCAGTCTACTGCTTTAACCTTCAGTTAAGTCTTGGTGGTCTGTGGCCATGGTCTTTGGCCACAAAAGCTATTTAAAGGGAGTCCATGGTGAAGAAAAGGTTGAGAACTACTGACCAGAGAATAACTGGTCCGAAGTCAGCGAGTTGGCTTCCATGGCTAAGGAAGTTTAAATCTTGATTTCATTTAACCTAAGCCAATACTCACTGGTTCTGACATACTATCATCATGGTAATTCATATAATTAGAAATTATATATCTATAACACATACAATTTACTATGATATTGCAGATCAAAGGTTTGTAGAATAGTAGCTTGGAATGGTTAGCTGTTACAATCTGAAGTGAAGCAGGTATTTCAGCAGGATTATAGGTGGTTATCTCCTAAAATTTGAAACTTTTCCCTGACTCACAGGTTAGCATTACAGTCCAGGAAAATACATGCTTGAGCTAAGGAGACACTTACAGGATTGTGAATCTTATTGTGAACCAAGAAAAGGATATTGTTTTAGGTTAATATGCAAATATGTGATATAGTTCTGGATTTGGTGTCATACTGTTGCTAGGGTAAATCACTACCGTTTAATATCCTGCTAAAATCTCCTAGGTATAGAAGAAAATGCCAATTCATTTAATCATAATTAAAACTTATATTAGATTCTTTATTTGTTAGAAAAACCCATGAAGACTAAATGCTACATTGAAGGATCTCAGGAGATTGGAAGTGATCTTACTCTGAAATGTAAATCCCAAGAAGGTTCTTCCATCATAGTTTACTCCTGGAAAAAAACTACTGGTTCACAAGAACTTCCAGCAACAGCATTACCAAGTATGCTTTCATGTTATTAATATATTTTTCATAGACAGGGCTATTGTTTTACTGTCTTCAAATGCTAAATTATTTTTAGATATAACTTTTGACATATAACAAAAATCATTTTGTTTAATTTATGTTGTCATGAGGTATTTTATTTACCATGTAATTGTCCAAAATATTTCTCAGTGGTATATCATCAAAATTTGAGTTCTTAAAGCTAGTTGAAAAGGAAAAATAGACAAAAATTTAGCTGATGAAAACAGAGATATGGCATTGTTCTCTACTGTTTACTGTTGCCCATATTCTTTTGGAAGGATTAATGCAGAAAGGTTCAGGATGGAATATTTGTTTTGTTCCTAAATGGCAAATGCTTAATTAAAAATTAAGGTGCACGAATAAAACATTTGGTAATAGAAAGGGAGCATGAGCAAAATGTACATACAGTATTACTACCCCAAATATATACAATATAAATTTGGCTATTCCCTAATGAGAGTAAGTACAGAAAAGTTATAAGAAATACTAAGGAATTCTGGACTAGTTTTGAAGCCAGCCAAAAACACCAGTTTGGAATCTGCCGGCTTTAATAAGTTGCTTTGGTTTAGGTCCTTGATTCAGTGAATTTGCACACCCATGTGTAAGAATATTTATATATATATTTAATTTTAAGTGGAGATAATTCTCTAAGACTCTTGAGGTAATTATAATATTTCAAAGTCTTCTTGGCAGCTGATAGCACTTATCTAATGTAGACTTACCTCAGAATGGTAAGCAGGTTTTGGCAGGGAGGAGTAGCCTTGCAAAAAACATTATTGCTCTAAAATCTCAAAGTAGTATGTTGAACAAACTTCTCATGTATTATGAATTATCTTATTTGAAGAATTCACACATCATTAATAATTTTGTAATGTGATAACACTCATTTAGTTTCTTTATCAGAAAACATCTCTCCCTTAAAATGTATATGATTTGTGATTTGTAACTACTCTGATGACAGAAACAGTGTTCTTCTGTAGAAGTACTTATATGCATAGGCATTAGGAGAAGAGCTTCTATCTACCCTCATTTCCAAACTAATTCTAATACTCTATTAGCTATAGATGTACATCAATAAAATATGCTATATTTAAGTAATAAAGTGACATTACATGAAATAACATGTTAAATTATTGTTTTTTATTCTATAGATTGTTGCAAAAATTCTAACAAATACCTTAAATATTTACAGTTGAAAATACAGGTGACTTATTTGTGAAAAATGCCTCTCAGACTTATTCTGGTACTTACTCGTGTTTGGCTTACAATAAAGTCGGCAGAGATGAATGTTCTGTCATACTGACTATTACACCCCGTAAGTATTAGTCAACAGGCAAATGAAGTAATAAAAATAGACATTAGGTAAATAGTTGTCATTAAACTGCAAAATTAATTTCTGCTACCTGGTTTGTTTGTTTTTTTAGCTATCGATAGAGCTGGTACTATTGCTGGAGCAGTTATAGGAACTCTTCTGGCACTCAGCTTAATGGCTTTGTTCATTTTCTGTTGCTATAAGAAACGAAGAGACACAAAATATGAAAAAGAAGTACATCATGATATCAGGTGTGGCATTTTGATTAATTGAGTATTTCAAAACATTATTTCTAAAAACATTAACTCCTAGAAATATTGATTTACCTGCTTTTAGCTGCAAAAATAGCAGCTAAATAACAGTGGAAGTGTCTGGATAAACTTTTGCTTGAAAAATGGTTTCATATGATTTGGTTTATTGTTGTTATTACACAAAATACACAAATTTATAAAACAAAGTGGGAAAATATTGGAATGGACCTAGTAAGATTTTATTTTATAAATGACAAAATAAATATTAGAATGTGTGAAAAATTAAACGTGATTAAGAAGGTAGAAACTATTGAGTGTAATTCAATATAAAGAAAGAGCAATAATGGAAATATTAAATATTCTAAAACTAAACAAAACCTAAAAGAACATTTAATCAACCAAAAAGGTTGGCACCTTTTAGATGCAATAGTCAACAGATGATTTTATTTGCTTTGGTAAAATGGTATCAGTCAGAAAACCTAATAAGCACACTTTGGCTTTATGTGCCAATAGAACACTGAATAGATACTGATATTTGCCATAGCATTGAAAAGCAGTTCTTCAAAGCCGTTTTGTTAGCTAAAATAACAAAAGTATTAAATTGTTATACTTCATACAGCAAGAAAATACAATGATGAATGTATAATTTTGTATATAAATATTAGCATTTTAAATATTAAAATATAACAACATACTGTGATCTATATTAGTGTATCAATTCTTTCCTTTCTTCAAGAAATTATATATATTTTTTCTTCATTTATTTCCTGTCCTTGAATTTTTTTTCTTTTGATAGTGAAACTGAAACTTGGGAGACACTAATTAATTGTCTTAAAGGACGCACTCTGCCACTCAGAGTCATCTCAGGCTGATCGGCATATAAGTTAAACTAATTAATTAATTATTAGTAAAAAAATAAAATGCATCTTAAATCACCATGCATTTATTTATTTACATTTATTTAGGCTCGGAATGTAGCTTAGCATAAATGAGAATAAAAATAGTTTATGTTACATAGATTTATTTGACAAAAATATTCTAAAAAATTAAGGATAGAATAAATCAGTGGCTGGGGAATTATGGAAGTTAAATTTCACTCATCTTAAGGTTGCCAAGTTTTAGAAACACTGTGATACGTATTTTGCTGTTATGGTAGTGTTAGTACCCTTTGTTAAATAAAAAGTATTGATGGGTTTTTAGTGTTTCTAAAGATTCTTAAGTAAATTCTTAAATATGTTTCATTTTCAGAGAGGATGTCCCTCCTCCAAAGAGCCGTGCCTCAACAGCGCGCAGCTATATAGGGAGTAATCGGTCATCTTTGGGCTCAATGTCTCCATCTAATATGGATGGTTTTACCAAAACTCAGTACAATAAAGTGCCGAGTGAAGAACGTACACCCTCTCAAGATCAGTACTTTGATCCACCAAAGGTAGCTGCACCTAATCTAAGTAGAATGGGAGCTATTCCTGTGATGATACCAGCACAAAGCAAAGATGGTTCCATAGTATAACATGACATTAATTTGAAGTTTCACCAGTTCATTACCACATTGATGATTAGTTTGTACCAGATCTACACATTTAAATATACACTTGAGCATCAAGATATGTCTTAGCTCAACTTATTTTTATTAAGTTTGACTGCCTTTATTGATAAAAGTTGACAGTGAAAAAATGTTATCCACCTTTGTAGGGATTTCTAAATAAATATTAAAATATGAATTATTGATCTGTTAGTTATAGTAGACTGTATGACATGAAGCATTTTGTATTTACATTGTTACAGATACCTGTTTATATGAGAACTGTTACAATTTTTCTGTTCACAAATCTGAAAATAGAGACTTGCATTCTTGTAATATTGATTCTGGAATACTCTTTTCAAAAACTTAGAATATTTAAAATGCATTATTAGATATAGTAATGCACATGTTTACCATATTTACCAATTTCTGTCCTTTCACACACTTTCTCTCGCTCGCTCGTTCGCTCTTGCTCTCTCCAGTCTTACAGGATATTGCTTGTTATATGTGGATAAACTACTCCTTTCTAGATATGTAATATTGAATGGATTTAGTCAGCATAATAACTACAAACAGTATTTGATAGTGAAATTAAACCTGAATTCAATCATTAATTATATTGTACATGCCATTTTGAAATTCCCTGTTTTTTATAAAGATTTGTGCAAATAGATTTTACTTATGGGACCAGAATACTTCAATTTAATTTATAAAATATACTGGCACAATTACATTTTTGTAGTAAAGTTTTCTGTAACTCAAGAACTGGTGAGGGCTTCCCCACTATTTTAATATCCTCAGAGTTATCATTTAGTACTTTTTTATTAACTCATCCTATTTATATTGCTCCATTGATTTTATTACCAATTAAAAAAATTGGAATACCAAAAAGTGAATATCAGCTTAAGCTGGTAGTTTATATATATATGTGGAAAGTTATACATTCTTATTAGAAAATTGCTCCCAATGAATTATAAAGTTTGCTTCTGTCTTTCTTTTTCCCATTCATCATGTCCAATTCTTGGAGACTGCCTGAACAAGCCCCTGCAGTTTTCTTGACAAGGTTTTTCAGAAAGCCGTTGCCTCCTTCGTAGGGCTGAGAGAATATGACTAGCCCAAGATCCCCAGTTCGCTTTGTGCCTAAGGTGGGACTAGAACTCCCTGTCTCTCAGTTTCTAGCCTGATGCCTTAACCACTTCAACAAATTGGCTCTTATGCTTTTTTACACATGAATAATTTCAAAAATGTACTGCAGCTTTAAATATTTACACTTGATAACTTAATTTTTTTTTGAAATTGTGGGTCTTGTATACATGAATAATTTAAAAAAATAAGATATCAAGAATTAATATTTAAACTTCTCTTGCAGTAACCCAAATTAGTATATAGATGTTTCTTGTCTCACAATCATAGTTGTGACCAGAATTTCAGTTGCCAAGTAATGCAGTTGTAAAGCGATATATCATGTGATCACATCACTTAGCAATCTCAGCACTCCTGAATTATGGATTGTTAAGCAGAGAGAGTGTCTCACATACCACAAAGAAAGGAAATCTGGTGCAGGCTGCATGCAAGCTGGGGAGAGCTGTAGTGTGACCCAATAGTGCTGCACCCTGAGAAGCCTCAGCTATCTCACCAGGTCAAGCAGAGCTTCATGACTGCAGGGCCGTACATCTCTCCCCATCTTCCTATTTCCTCGTGATCTGTGCCCTTTTGGCCACCCCGCAAAGCAGCACTGGTCAGCCATTCCTTCTCCA